TAATAATAATAATAATAATAATAATAATAATAATAATAATAATAATAGCAAAACATCAAATGATACCTTTGGACCTTGCGGTGTTGCCTTTCAGCCCTAGGAGCAGCTAAATTACTAGTCCTCTCCCTTGCCACAAGCCTCAAACATCCATCTGATATAATAATAGGAACGAAGACTCAACATCAACTTGATGTCATGTAATCAAGCGATCCAAAGAGCTAACCGCTTTCCTGACTGATTTTCCCCTAAGACTGAAATAAGTTCTTGCTGTTTCTCTTAAAGGTTTTTGCCATATTTTTAAAAAATTCCTTATCTCTATAGAGCCAGTTTGGTGTAACGATTAAGGCACCAGGCTAGCAGCCTGGAGACTGAATTATAGTCCTGCCTTAAACACAAAACCAGCTAATTGATTTTAAGGCAATCACTGTCTCTCAGTCCTAAGATCTTGTGGGATCTTCTTAAAACATTGCCTTCTGTTCTAAATTGTAATTATAATCTATTGGGTTTGTTCTCATAGATTAGTAATCCACTGATATTACAATACTGTAACATGTATTTCACTGTGGATGAGTAGAGAAATTTTTAATATGAATCTTAACCCAGAGTTTGTGCTTGACATTTATCTTTACGTATGGCAAATCATACAAAAATTATCGCAATTCAACATGACATTAACCCTTAAAATGACATGACAAGTAGAAGTTAGATTAGGTTGTGACTAGATAGTCCTCTTACTTACATGACTAAATAGAGAAGATAAATCAGCAAGAATCAAATGGAGTAATGCTGATGTGAAAACTGGAACAAATCTGTGTTAATCCAAAGAATGGTTCTTCCATTTTCGATCTCTTCCTCCTCTATAGCCAGGAGAAAAACAATGCTGCTAACATTTGATTTTTCTTTCTACCAATCCTAGTTAATTCTTATGTATGGACCAGAAATTACAGTTTGCTTCAAGACTGTTTCATAACCTGTGATTTGCAGTTGGTTTGATCAGAAGCAGATCGATTTGTTGGATCAAGATTTCCTGTATTTTTGCATTAACCAGTTTTGTGGAAAATGAAATTAAACACAGGGGAATCTCTCTAAGAGAGCAGGCATGGAGAACATACTAGCCCAATTCAAGTTGCTGCTTGTGCACATAGTTCTAATCTGTGCAGAATTACAGGTAAACCAGAATATTTGAGAATGTGTTTCTTATTCAAATATGTTAACCTATCCTGCTGTTTCATGTAGGAAATAATTAGTTTTGATCCCAAGCAAAAGTGTTTCTGCTGTTCATACCCTTTTTGATGGTTGTGTGCTTATACTGGCAAATTGCCCTAGTGAAGCCTTTTGGATAAAAGCCATGAGTCAAACCCTGTTCAAACATTATTATGCAAACAAGTCTGAAGGAAAACAGAAGTGAAGCATACTGATTTGTTCCCTTTTTACTTCTTTTTCTATAGCTGTGAAATGCTCAGAAATTACTTTTCTGGGATATCTGTACATTAGCATATTTGAAGTAGTGAATCATCTGAGCACAGCACTGTGTGATGTTTTAAAGAAGCTGTTTACTACACAGATTGAGCTAAAGTAATCCAACAAGTTGAATGACCTCCACAGTAATACTTCAAAGTATCTTGTAATAATAATCTTGCCTTTTTACTGGCTTACTTTGGACTGATTGTCCAGCCTTTACTACTTGGGACTGAAGTTGCAAAGTCATGGTGATGACCGATTCATAAAATTCTAACATGAAAAAGAGAAAAAG